AAAAATAATCTTTATTACACTGTGTAACAGTGAAAATAAACTTTTGGGGTGACGAAGTACAGCCTGCAGTTTTGGTCGAATATTTCACGAAACTATACATGTCTAAAAATTAAAACCCAGAACTCTCTAAATTATTCGTAAGAAAAAATGTTTATATGACTTCGCAGATTAAACATTTTTTGTCTTCGATATTTATTAAGCAATTTTGTGTTTGAATATACATACACAAGCTCAGAAAGCAGAATATTAAAGATTAATTGTAATAAAATTGTCACGAACATGGAATTTTTAAGGAAAAAACAAAACCGTCTTCAATTTTTATATATAAATTTAAGATTATCGTTAATTTCTTCATGATCCAATGATCGAATTCAAACCAAATTAGTATGGGATCACCTGTGAGGTAACACCTTTCCTTTAAACAAAAGAATTTGAAAAATCGGGTAACGTGGCCCAAGGTTTGCGGTTACATACATAAAAAACAGAAAAAAATAATATTCCGACGAACTGATAACCTTCTCCTTTTTGTGAAGTCGGTTAAAAATGAGGAAATTTCCTTAAATAAACTAGAACTTAAAAAAAGAAAAGTTCATTCCAATCTAATTTTTCCCCACAATTTAGGATATGTAGCTATAATTATTATTACATTTTATCAAATAATAATAAATAGAACGCTTTGTTAAGCCCGTAATTATTAGAAGTTGCCCAAAAGCCGAAAAGGTGAAGGATGTTTTATATCGCTAGCTTATGGTGATTGCGTTTCTACCAAAAAATGTCGCCTTTTGATTGTTCCTTTCTCTTTTTGTAAAGATTTGTGTTCGTTTCTTAAAATGTCACACTCTTGTAAGGCAAAAAAAGCCACATTCTCTGCCCTTTGAAGCTTTGTAAGGGGAGATGGTTGCCCTGAAAATCAGATGGTTGTTTAAAACGAAAATATTAGGAAATGCGCGATCTAGACATACTAAGTTGACTAACTAATAATATCGTTAGAATTTATTTTGCCGGTAGGTGACGCTGAAGACGGAGTATATCCGGAAAAAAATGGTGGAAAAAGTAATACACCGTACACTGCTGATGATGACATCTATGTATGTACATATACATATATACAATGAAAATGTAGTAATCGATATATCATTTTATGCGCGTACTTAAAGTGTGTAAAATATATTATATACATACATACATACATACATAGATATACTGCATTAGTGTAACACAGTCATGTAAGACCACCAAGCAAAATTCTGATCATTATCCTATCTGCGCAATGTGTTAGGATTCAGCAATCAAAGGGAGATAGCTTTGAGCCAAATGTGGCAAATACATTCAAGCGAATTTAACGTATCATCAGTGGCGCTTGAAAATGAATTTAAAGTGGATTATTTTACTCTGGAGTGGTTATGCCCCTTTGTTGACGTGGTTTGCTTATAAAAAGTGATACTTTGTGATGAAGTATTAAAATCTTATTTTAAAGCTACCTGGAAATTAAAAACCGATTTGAATTTTTTTTTAAATGATTACCAATTTATTATTTTAGAATGTTTAACTCAAACATATATCTCCATTTTTCACTGAGTAGGGATTTACTCACTATTCAGTTAAAAAGGAATAAATAACTATATTAACTCACTCAAAATTGTAGTGATCTTTTTATACATAATATTCGCAATGTTCATTTGAAATATTTCTTTTTTTTTTTAAACCTTTATAAAAAATATATAAATCCGAATTCAAAACTTTGTGAAAAAAATTTAAAAAAAAAATCAAGAAAATTTTGTTAGAATTGAAGCGTTTTAGTTAAAATTTCTGCAAATTATCTGCTTACCGAAGTACGCATGTCAAGCTATTTTATTTAATTAATCTCTTTTTTTCACATAAAAAGCGTCAGTGCGACATTTCTATAATTTAATTTGTTGCAAAATTCATGAAGTTAAACGTAAACTAAAAATTTCCTGAAATTATCTTTTAACGATCGGCCACTGCGATTTGTTTTGAATTTAAGTGTAATTTTTTACATGCGATTACTCGGTTTTCCTTTTCTTTTTACAGCACATATTTTCAGCTATGGTTAAAATACATAGTTCAAGTTTTTGTATTAAATTTGTTGTGTATGTTTTTTTTCTCCATGCGAATTGATCGTGCTAGATACGGATCTGAACAAGCGACTGGGAATACGGCTGTTTGTCAAAAGCATACAACTTCGAACTCAAGTAAATGCGCATTTGGCATTAGCATGAACGCTCTTCAAAACATACATACGCTGTATAAGTCGGGCTGAAATGGTTCACCGGGTGATACTGTGCACCCTTAAACACTCTCACTCCCAATTCGCTTAAAAAACTCACATCAACCTATATGTTTCAGTCTTGTGTAATGACGCAAAGGGCAAAGTGGTCTAGTCGATGGGTGTAACAAATGGAATTAAATCAAATGAAAAGAGAAGATATACAGTTTTCCTAATATGTTAAGATACATATCGTCACCTGAAATGCAAAAATACCTAACAAACATCATCGTTGAAATGCAAAGAATCATAACTTATAAAAAATTCAAAATTTACTTTTTGATTTAAATGATGGATTTAATCGAATTACAACTTCCTAAACTGATTTTATGAAAAAATAAAAATAAAATATTAGTCAAGACTTTTTCCATTTCATTTACAATGTTGTTACGTCTTTTTGTATTTCAGGTGACCATATATTTACTTATTATATTTATACGTGAAAAATTCGGTAAGTTTAAGTGCAATCTAATTATATTGTATACGCAGGCCCATCGTGATTGGGGGTTAGCGGAGTCAATTGACTCGGGCCCGGCTGAATGTCAGCGGACAGGGGAAAGATATAAAGGGAAAAGAAAATGGAACGAATTTGCAAAATGAAAAAATTATAAAACATGCAATTGAAAAAATAAATTTAGCTGAAAAGCAGTTTTCTTATTTTCTTCAAAATGAAAAAAATAATGTTAATTGAAAAGGCCTTCGGAAGTCCCTTGAAGCTTTTGATATATGTATTGAATCTGACCAAGACCGTATGTCAAGGATTTTAAAATGAACATGGAATCGTTTGAATGTATTTTTATGGCCCCTTTGGCTCTGATCCCAATTAATTACCGAAGTCAAAATTTACAAGCCAAAGATGCTATGACCGATGTGGAAGCTGCCAACATAAAGCGATTATTTGAAAATCTTAAGGGTTTGAGAAATCAGTGGTCGTTGATTCTGCAAGATTGTAAAATAGTAGATGGAAATGTTGGTTCTTTAGATACACCGAGGAAAAAGTCAGCTAAATATATTTATATCAACACATGATTTGATTTTTTGGTTATACATACATATGCATGTAGTTACCGAATCGTGTGTTGAGAGGAATATGTGTATGTATGTATGATTTTTTTTCTGAGTGTAAGTAAGTAATAAAAAAAACCTCGCGTGGAAATTCGAACGAATTGTAAAAAGTTTAGCTTTTGTTAGTGATAAAGGTTAATTGTGCCAAAACCGGCGAAATGGTGCAATTTATGCCGGGTGATATGGCATGCATCACACCTCTCTTTTCCATATGCCAAATCGCACCTTTTACGAACAGTTTCATTTACTTTACCGACGTATAGGAAAATTCTGCGGTATCGAAAAATGGAATATCGAATATCAAGTTTTATGTCAACTAATATTTGGCCGTTAGATCCAACTGCAATTCCAGAATATGCGTTTATACAAATGGACGAAGAGTTGGAGATGATGATTTTGCGGGATATGACACTACCACAAGCAGGTATTAGGATATTTAGTAATTTCTCATATCTACTTCATCGTAAATATTACGTTTTTGTTAATATTTTTGTTAGAAAGTAATTGTGCCTACATATGTATGTATATACACATGATAACAGTCATATTTATTCTTTAGCATCGAGGACACTCAGTGATGATTAATACGAAGTTTTGTTTAATTAATTATTTTGTTTCGTAACATTTGCGCCAAGTGCAGTTTAGTATTCTTATGTTTACGCAAATGAATCCAAAGATCCAAAGAATCAATCTCACTGTCATTTTGAATGGGTATGTATGTACCTTCAATCGCATGCTTGTGTGACCTGAGGAAACAATAGGCAATCGTCGCTTTTGTGGCATGCGGCAAGAACATTCGTCAATAGCCATATGAATAATCGAATGATGAGTGCACAAGAAGACATTTAATTGATGGATGTGTGGCGAGTGCGATAGTCCAACACACACACACACACACACACACACACACACA